TAGGGCCAATGGGGCACTATGTAAACAATAGGATACCTTTTTGGATGCAGCCTTAGTTTATTGGGTCACACTTTATGTGGATAGTCTGGATAGTCCATCTGATGCTGTACAGATGGCCATGCTATCAACAAACTATCTGTTGATAAGCAACTGCTTTCTAAGGTTACGGTTAGGATTAGGTTTAGAATAAGGGTTAGGGTTAAGGGTAGGGTTAGGGTAAGGGTTAAGTTTAGGGTTAGGATAAGGGTTAAGGTTAAGGTTAGGGTTAGGGTTAGTAGATAGTTAGTTGAAATGTTACGGATAGTCTGTAGATAGTCTGTAGAGCATCTACAGACGGACTGTCCAAATAAATTGTTACCGTTTATTGTAACAAAGTTAATTTTTAGTGCATCCTGATCTGACATCAACTTCATAATTGTTTTCCATGTTTGATCTACTTACTACTTCTGAAGAACAGATAGGTAGGCTATATACGGTTTTCAACATAGTCGACGGTAAAAGCTTATTTCAAGCTCTCAATTCTGTGAAGTTTTTCCTCTTTAACAAGAGTGTGGTGGTTCGCTGAATCCATCTAACTCCCCCCTTGATGTATTTTATGGTGTGGAACTGAGCGATCCATTTCCTTCTATTCTCTATCAGCAAACAGATTTCTCCCAGGTCCACTGTTTAAGATATCAACGTCTCTTCAGAGGCCAGATAAGAGGACCACAGAGTCAAGATACACATTTGGAGAACATTGTCCCTTTCCACAGACGTAGTTTCACTCCACCAGTGCATCGTGGCACACACCTTTCACGTGCTAAATAATTTTAAAAAATGTGTTCTGTAGGTGCCTTGGTAACCAAACAAACAGACTTGCTAGCGTAGCTAACCAAACCATTGGTCCTTCTAGCTTGTTATTATGAAAATCTAATTCAACAACGCCAATAATATTTTCAATTTTACTTTTGCAACCCACCCAGTTTATAATTGTATTCATACAATACTTATTGGCTTGAAGGGGATTTTAGAGTGTGCATTATTTCCCTCTCTCTCTCTCGCCTTCCCTCCCTCTCTCTCTGTCCGTCTCTGTCTCTCTCTATATATATGTCTTTCTCTCTCTCGCTCTCTCTCTCTCTCCCCCCTCCCTCCCTCCCTCCCTGTCCGTCTCTGTCTCTCTCTATATATGTCTTTCTCTCTCCCTCTCTCTCTCTCTCTCGCTCTTTCTCCTACTATTTATTCAAAATGTGGATATCCTTGCAGATTATCTGTCTATTGTCTCTCTATTGAGCATGTGTAATGATGTGTACAATGTTACCACTCTGTCTATTATCTCTCTATTGAGCATGTGTAATGATGTGTACAATGTTACCACTCTCTTGTTTCTCATCACAACAGAAGGCTTGATGTTTGGATTCCAAGCCTTTCACAAATATCTAAGAGAGCTGAAGGCAGGGTTTTATAACTTTGAGCCTAATATAAAAATCTATCTTAATTTTGTAAGTACAATACTCTGCAGGTTTCCTATGGAATCAAGCCTATGCTTCACATGATGTGTGCCAGTACATTTCAGGGTGCATAGAAGTGCTTCACATCCCTATACATTCGAAACATTGTTGAATACTTCTCTACTACATGTATGTACACTACTGGTCAAAAGTTTTAGAACACCTACTCATTCAAGGGTTTTTCTTTATTTTTACTATTTTCTACTGTCGTGTATGAAGATTATGACTATTCTAGAGGGACAAAGAAAATATGTTTATCTTAGTTCAAATGTAGCAGTTGTAGGGTGACGCCCCAGGGGGGATAGGTGATTGGACGAAAGAGGGAGCAACCCATATTTTGGCTTTGTTTATAAGTATGAGCTAGACAAAGAGGGGGTCAGAAGCATTCAGATTATTTTGGGACGGTGCTTCTCCAGACACCGCGGGTCTGTAAACTTATGCAGTAAACTTGTGATATGAATAAAAACTTCTAATCAAGGTGCAGCCTAAGCGGACTCTTTGTTTGACAGCAATGACCACCAACAGCCGACGCGACACGACACAATGGAGGCTCCGCTGAGATTGGTCTGCAACTTTCCTTTGTTTCATTCATGAGCAGCGAGGTGACTACTGCTCAAGCCGGCTAAAAAAAGGTGAGATTCCTCACAAATTATTGGGCGGTAGTTGTTTGGCTGGCTTGTGAATGTGCGCTGGCGAAGGTATACCATGTAAATTACTTGGGTTTGGGGCTGATGTGGTGCTATTGCGGTCGACTAGGGGTCTGTCATAATTATTCTAAAATTGTACAGCAATTGAAGGCAGATATAATAAAGGCAGATGATTAAAGGCAGAGATACGTATACAATTAGGGCATTGTGAATCTGATAAGACCCCAGGGGGGCCATCTAATGATGGGCCGATAATCCGTTTGCGCGTTAGAATGTGCATTCGGTGTGTTTTAAAGAAAAACTCGGGTTGATGGAATTTATCTGATTGTGATTATTGCTCGACTTTCATCCGACGGGGTGTCCGCTTGGGGGTGATCTCTCAGTAGATGGTCATTAAACTCACGGCAGCATAAAGTTAGTGGAAAACTGAAAATAATTTAGGCACAATGCAGGGTTTCTTTTTACATGTTTCATGCCACATTGTACATAAAGGCTAATGCTAAATGCTAATGCTACATGCTAATTGTGTTGCGTGCTACATGCTAACGGGTGTCCTTAGGGGAGCCATTGCGATGGAATAACCCTCTTAAATTTGTTTGTGAGTGTAGAATTCAGAGTTCTACGCAAATGTGAGCTCTGTTAAGTGTAATTGTTTGATTATAAGGGGTAAAATAGTGAAGTTGTAGCGGAATGCTAGCGGTCTATTGTCTGGGAATCGTATCGTTAAATGTATTTGCGCATGCGTTTAATTTTATGACACTACACTACAAAACGTGGGAGTTGGAGTTTATTGCACGAGATTATGAGACGTTGGTTTACGGTACTTTACGGTAATTGCATTTTGGAGGCTATGTTCATCACTTGGGTTGATTGGAGTTGTGTTGGGATACAAGGACTGACATTATTCTGTAAAATTTAAATAATTAGGTGTTTATAGAGCAAGGGGGTTTATGGAAGTTGTAGTGGTTAGAGGCTTTGTTTTGTTTTTAGGATTGTAGTCTGAAGTTGACTACTTGTATTCACTTTCCGGATTTGTTATGGCCACTAATTGATAAATTGGTAAGATAGGTTATAGAAATAAAAAATTGGTTTTAATTATTCATAATTTTTAATAGATTTTTTAATTGATATTTATTTTAATTGGAAATATTTTTTGGAATTGAATTTTTAATTGAATTTTTTTATATTCATATTTTTATTGATTGATTTAAAGAAAAAAAAAATGTTTTTTTGTTTTGTTTTTTTGTTGGGTTGTTTAGTTTATATTAATAATTAAAGGGGGAAGCCATAGGCTATATAGTCTAAAATAAAATAAGTCACAATAAAGGAATATAAAAGGGTTGTTACAATGGGGAAAAACGACAGCAAGGCTATGAAAGTCATTACACCGGTTGATATAGTTGAGAATAGTAATCCTTTAGTTAAGGGTATTGCGAGGTTATCCGGCAAATGAAACAAAAGTTGCCCTTCATTTTCAAACAAAAACTGATAAAAGATTCCAGCGATAAGATAAACAAAGGTATAGAGAAAATGCTAAAGGAAGAGAAGGCGACAGGAAAACTAATGGCAGAAGTTAGTACACCTTTCTCACACACGGATTCAGCAAAAAGACACCCACCTTATGAGAAGGAAGTAGAGCTTAGGGATGTTTATCCTCAGCTTCCAGTGATCATCCAGGAGGGTGATTATTGCATCAGAGATGAAGATGAACGAATAATAGATAGAGGACAAGCAGAAACGACAATGAAGATGAATCCAAAACTCCAGAAGTAAGAAAAACCGAGATGTCTGGAAACTAAGAGAAGAATGAGGTTCGGAAAGATGAGGATGAAGATACAGAAGAGAAGAAAAACTGCTGAGAAAAGGATCCCAAGAATTGGAGGAGAAGAATACATTGAGGCCAAGAAGCTGAAGAAAAGTAAGAAGATGATGGAAGATGATATTTCGAGGAAAGAACTTAGAATATAAGCTGTTGAAGAATCCTGATATGTCAACAACAAAGAACAGGACGAAGAAACTCTCAAAAACCTCAATCATACAACTGGTGGAGAAGGAGAAGAGAAGCTTTGGTTATGAAGAATCAGAGTGAACCAAATCAACAATCACGGTTACAGCTTCAACTGAACAAGGCCAAATGCAATTGTACCAGCCACCAAGGGGGGTACCAGGTGTTTCATATCCACAGCCAGTTTCTGGATAGACACAGAATTGGAGAGGAAGAGGACGAGAAGGCTTAGAAGG